CCTGCTGACTCTCTGAAGTTCACTACAGATGACCCTTGAACAGTGCGGGGCTTGGGGCGCCAATCCACTGCACAGTGCAAAATCCACAAACAACCTTTAACACCCCAAAAACTCAACTACTGATCTGCTTATCAATAACATAGTCAATTAACACATATTTTGTATTATACTCTATTCTTGACATAAAATAAGCTAGGGAAAAAAATAAAGCTATTTAAAAAAAATCATTAAAAAAAATTATCTTTACAGTATTTACTGAAAGTGGACCTGCACAGTTCAAACCCGTGTTGTTTAAGGGTCAACTAAATACAGAGGGATGGTGCACACGTGCCAGTGTTGAGTTTTAAGTTACCGTATCTGGGACTTGAACCACAGTCAGCTACATGGGAGCCCAGTAACGTAACCATTACACCATCTCCTGGTACCAATGGTTCTTATATTTTAGTTTTCCATAAAAGAATCCTGAGTCCACCTTGTCTACTGAGACTTGTTCCCCAATACGTAAGGCCCACATTTTTTTCTAGCCAACTCCATGCTTGAAAGCTTTTGTCTTTAGAGATCTTTAAAGTTTTGCCACAATAAAACATACCATTGTTCTAAGACTTCCGTGAAATAAAATGTACAGGAATAATCAACTGTGATACTGACAAAGAATAAGTCCACCAATATTCTTTCATAGCCCTGAATATGGTGGTACTAATAAACAGACCATGATTCTCTTTACCTAATTCTAATGCAAACTAAATTTAAAACAATCTGGATTAAGATAGCAAATACTGGGGTCAGTAGGTGGTGTAGTGGTTAAGGTGCTGGACTCCCACATGGTCGACCACAGTTCGAGTCTCATACCTGACAGGTTGCTTTCTCACTTTCTGTCTTTCTCTCTAATGAGCACACATGCCCTATAACAAATTAAAATACTAATAATAACTAAGAGTAAATAAAATAATTCTTTTTAAAAAAAGAATTATTTTATTTATTTATTTATTTATTCATTAGAGTTTTTGTTTGTTTGTTTGTTTGTTTGTTTGTTTGTTTTTTTAATTTGACCAGAGAAAGACAGAGGGTGAGAGTGAGAGAGAGAGGAAGTGAGAAAGCAAGCCACCAGGTCCAGGACTCAAACCCCAGTCAGCCATGTGGGCGTGTCCAGCACCTTAACCACCACGCCACCTGCTAGTCCCAATAAAATAATTTTTTTTTTTAGAGGTTTTCACTATAGGGCACGTGCGCTCGCCAGACAGACAGAGACATAGAGACAGAAAGCGAAAAATCACCCCCCGGGGGTTGGGGCCTGGTCACGCCACAATCCCTTCTCCTCCATTCTTCTCTCAGGATCTTGGGCACGCACGCACATGCACCCGGCGTGAGTTCTAAGCCACCGGGTCCAGGATGCAAACCGCAGTCAACTACGTGGGAGTCCAGTGACATAGCCATTACACTAACTGCTGATTCCCAATAAAATAATTCTTAAAAAAGATATCAAGTGTTACAAACCATTGAACTTGCAGCACCTCAGTGGAAGCTGAATTAAGAATACAGGATCAGGACCAGCAGTTGGCATAATGGCTGTCGCTGGGCTCCCACACCGGTGAATGCCGGTCAACGAGGACTCGGTGGCTTAAACTCAGGCCAGGCATGTGTGAATGTGTACCCAAGACCCCAAGAGGAGAATGGGAGAATGGAGGAGAAGGGACTGCAGTGTGGCAATCCTCCTTGGGAGGTGATTTCTTGCTTTCTGTCTTTCTCAGTTTTTCTGGCGGATACATAAGCCCTATAGCGAAAACCTCTCAACAAAACAAAACAAAACAAAACAAAAAAAACAACAACACAAACAAACAAAAGAATACAGTATCAATTTTGACTCTATATACTGCTTGAAAAGAAGTAGAACTCCATGTCTAATATTGATGGACTGGGTAAACGCGACTAGCACGCGTCCTGAGGACAACTAGAAAACCTGATTAAATTATAAAAAGCATATTTTTGAGTCCACCAGAGAGCTAACAAGATAGTAAAAAAAATTATTGGACCAGGAGTGAACAGGTTCCAACGATCAGCACTTGGTGTAACGGCTATGTCGCTGGACTCCCATGTAGTTGACCGCAGTTCAAGTCCCAGATCTGGTGACTTAAAACTCACGCCAGGCGTGGGTGTGTGCGTGCCCAAGATCCCGAGAGGAGAATGGAGAAGGGATTGTGGTGTGGCCATCCCCCCTGGGGGGTGATTTCTTGCTTTCTGTCTCTCTGTCTCTCTCTTTCTGGCGAGTGCATGAGCCCTATCACAAAAAATCTCTCAAAAATATGAACAGGGGTCCACAAAAATGACTCCAGAATCTGGGGCTTTACCCCAAGGTTATATGCTGCTTAGTGAGGTTTTCTGAGGCTTTTAATGGTCATTCAAGTCTGAGGTAAAGACAATCTGTAAGTAAGGCCTGTGTGGTATAGGGGAGTTCTGGTGAAAGCCCTCACCTCAGACAATGTGTTAAAAGAGACCCAACCTATAACTTAGAGTCAGAAACAGGTACAAAAATAGTGCAACTCAACTTCAACCCATCAAATTTTAAAGCTGGATTAAAATAATACTGGTTAGCCAGTGCATCCATGTAGTTTACAAAAAGAAATAAATTCTATTGGCTAATATCATTATTTCTCTTTGGTTTTTAATTTTGCTACAGAGTGTGTGTGCTCACCAGAGAAAGAGGGAAAATGAGAAATCACCCTCCCCAGGGCGATGGCCACCCCACAATCCTTCTTCACTATTCACCAATAAGGATTTTGGGCACCTATGCAGACACATGCCTGGCATGATTTTCAAGCCACAGGCCCAAGACTCAAACCATTCAGTCAGGCATGTGGGATCCAGCTGCCTTAACTTTCCTGCCACCTGCTGGCCCAATACTATTATTCTTGATCTCAAATTATTTCCACAAACAATGCTTGACATACTGTTAAAAAAAAAAATATGTGAGAAATGGAACCAGCAAGTGGCATTGTGATTGAGGGAGCTGGACTCCCACATGGCCAATGGCGGTTTGAGTCCCAGACCTGGAGGCTTGCTTTCTCCCTTACCTCCTCTCTCTGTCCCTCTCTGGTCAAATCAAAATAAATAAATAAATAAAGTTACATAAAATAATTATTTTCAAAGATATGTGAGAGACAACATTAACACAAAGAAAACAAATAACAGACAAAAGACCCATAGCAGCTTCATAAATTAGAGATACTAGGTGACACACAAACTTTCAAGTAAATAATATATACAAGATAGAGAAAAACAATCAAGATTTCAGCACAGAAGTGAAACAAGACAAAAAATATCCAAATAAAAACATAAAACCAAAGTATTGTAACTAAAATTAAGAACAAATGGGAGATGAGCAAATGGCATAATGGTTATGTTGCTGGAGTTCCACATAGTCAACTGTAATTCAACTCCTGGACCCAGCGACTTAAAACTCATGCCGGGCACGTGTGTGTGCATGCGCAAGATACCAAGAGGAGAACAGAGGAGAAGGGATTGCAGTGTGGCCATTTCCCCTAGGGGGTGATTTCTTGCTTTCTGTCTCTCTGAGAGCATGCATGCTCCCTAAAGCAAAAATCTCTCTTAAAAAAGAAAGAAAGAAAGAAAGAAAGAAAGAAAGAAAGAAAGAAATGGAAGGCTCAACAAATTAGGAAATAATCAGAATGAAGCAGAGAGACTAACACAAGGAAATACATAAAAGTAAGAGAAATACATAAAGTTCACTAAAAAGAGTCTCACATACATATAACTAGGATGTTAGAAAAAGAAGACAACAGAGCAGAAATATTTCAATAATAATCACAGAGGGCAGTCCAGTGGTCTGGTAGTTATAGGAGCCAGATTCTGTGTGGCCAACTACACTGGTCCTAGTGGCTTGAGAAATACTCCAGGTGTGTGTGAAGTGTACCAAATCCCAACAGGATGGAGATCAGAGAAGGGATGTGGCATGACCATGCCCCATTAATGAGGTTAATCCTTCTCCCTCTGTCTTTGTCTCTCTTCGCTTTCTCTAGCCAGCACATGTACCCACTAAAACAGGAATCGTTGTAGAGAACTTTTCCAAACCCATTGAAGCCACAGGTTTAAGAAATTATAGTTAAGACCAAACAAGAAAAACCGAAACTAAAACCTAGGTATACTAAAGAGAAATCTGCCAAAAGCCAAAACAGTCTTGAACTCAGGTAATCATCAAAGGAAAAAATAATTAGAATGTCAGGTAACTACCCAACTAGAACATTTAAGACAAAGGAACAATAAGTTATATCCAAAGTTCTTAAATAACTGTCGAGTTGCGATTTCTAAAGTGAAAATATCAAGAACAGGAACAGCAGGTGGTGTGGTGGTTAAGGCACTGGACACTCCCACATAGCTGACCACAGTTCAAGCCCCTGGATCTGGTGGCTTGCTTTTCCACTTTCCTTCTTCTCTTTCTATTGTCTCTCTCTGGTCAAATTAAAATAGATGAATGAATAAATAAAATTGAATAGATAATTTTTTAAAAGAAAGGAAAATATCAAGAATAAATGTAGGGCCAGCAGGTGGCATGGTAGAAGGCACTGGGCTCCCACATAGCTAACCATAGTTCACGTCCCAGACTTAGTGACTTGTTTTCTCACTTTCTCTTTTTTTCTTTCTCTGCTTCTCTCTGGTCAAATTAAAAAATAAAAATAATAACAAATGGAATTAAATAAATAATTCTATTCTTTTTATTTTTTGAGGGGGAGATTTTTGCTATAGAGCATGTGCGCTCAACAGAGAGACAGAAAGCAAGAAATCACACCCCAGGAGGGATGGCTAAGCCACAATCCTTTCTCCTCCATTCTCTTCTCAGGGTTCTGGGCACGCATGCACACGGGTCCAGGGTGAGTTTTAAGCCGCCAGGTCCAAGACGCTAACTGCAGATGACTACATGGGAGTCCAGTGACGTAACCATTAGGCCATCTGTTGGTCCCAAATAAAGAACTCTTTAAAAAATTTTTTTAAAAAAGAATTAACGTAAAAGAATGAAATTAGGGGACAAGCAGATGGTGTAATGGTTACATTGCTGGACTCCTACATGGCCAACTGTAGTTAGAGTCCCAGACCCAGAAGCTTGAAACTCACGCTGGGCACATATGTGTATGTGCCCAAGATTCTGAGAGGAGAATGGAGGAGAAGGGACTGTGTTATGGCCATCTCCCATGGTGTGGGTGATTTCTTGTTTTCTGTCTTCTCTGTCTCTCCAACGAGCACACACGCCCTATAGCAAAAATCTCTCCTTAAAAAATAAACAAATAAATAAAATTGGACCCTTATAAATATATGTGTCTGTGTGTGTGTGAACAGAAATTAACTGAAAAAAAAAAACTTTTTAGATAAAATTAAAAATCGTTACTAGTTGGCCTCACACTAAGGAAAATCAAAGTCATAGTATCTATAAAGATGTAAATTATATGAAAACAGTACAAAGGAGAGGGAAAATAAGCTAGTTTTACACATTATTGAAAATAAGTTGGTATCAATTAAGCTAAATTGCTGTAAATGAAATGTTAATATAACCATCAGGATAAGAACAAAGGAAGTAAACTTAAAATATATAGTAAAAGACCAATTAAAACAACATATGAGAGAGCCAGAAGGTGCTGTAGAGATTAAGGCAGCTGGATCTCACACATCTTTACTGAGTGACTTGAGTTTCAGACTCAATGACTTGAAAAATATGCCAGGTGCAAGTGCGTGTATGTTCAAAATCCTGAGAGGATAACTGAAGGAGGGATTGGGGGAGATTTCTCAACTTCCCTCTCCTTTTCTGTCTCTGTGTCCAGCAAGTGCATGTACCCTATAGCAAAAACTTAAAAAAAAAAAAATTAGAAAATATATAACACAAAAGTAAACAGCTAGGAGCAGCAGATGGCATAATGGCTATGTCGCTGGACTCCCATGTTGTCAACTGTGGTTCAAGTCCCGGACTTGGTGGCTTAAACTCACGCTGGGTGCATGTGTGCCCAAGATCCTGAGAGGAGAACGAAGGAGAAGGGATTGTGGTGTGGCCATCCCCCCTTAGGAGTGATTTCTCACTTTCTGTCTCTCTGTCTCTCTCTGTCTTTCTTGCAAGCACATGCACCCTATAGCAAAAACCTCTCCAAAAAAAAAAAAAAAAGGCAACAGTTACGCAGGAACTGAGGAACACAAAAGAGATAACAAATAAAAAAAAAAGAAAGGAAAGAAAATGACAGATGTAAATCTTGCTTTATTAATAATTGCACTAAATGAACAGGCCCATGGCCTACTGGTTAAGGGAGCTAGAGTCCACATGGCTGACTAGATGGTTCAAATCCCAGCCCTGGATGCTTGAAAAACATGTGTGTGTGTATGCGTGCACATGCATGTGTGTACCCATGTGCACGTGCATGGAGGCATGCCCCAAATCTTGACAGGGTAGAGAAATGGAGGAGAAAGGATCGTGAAATAACTATGTCCCATGGGGGGGGTGGGGTGGGGAGGGGGCAGGTGCTTTCTCCTGCTCGCTCGCTCTCTCTCTCTCTGATGAGTTCATACACCCTCTGGCAAATTAAAAAAAAAAAAAAAAAAAGAAAGTGATTTTCTATGAACATTCAAGGTATAATACTCAACCACAGTGAAAGTATTTTTTTAAATTATATTGAATGTAAATAGGTTAAACTCTCCAATGATAGTGACAATGAGATGCCAGCTCACTTCTACCAGACTGACAGAATGACAGTAAGTATCGATCAGAACATGGAACAACAGGAGCTCTTACACTGCTGATGAGACTGTAAATGAGAACATTCTGATGTATGCATGTATATAAGGTTGGCTTAAATGAAACAAAATGCTTAAAATATTCAAAGCTATGTATCTAAAACATGTATATTAAATCTCATCTATGAAAAATGCCTAGCATTAATTAGCAGTGATTCAGCTAACCTTGGAAAATATATGCCCTTCCTCATCATCCCTTTTGTGAATGTCCTGAGAAGAGAACTGAGACACAAAGAATATTTTCTGACACAACATTGTATACCCACCACTGAAAGTATTAACTATAAACAAATGGCCACTTACTTGATCAAGATTTGAAAGGCTGTTAGGATCCTGACTCAGACCTTGGTACTGTCCCCTGAGTCTGTCACCAGCAGCTATTTTCCTAAACTTCTTCAAATCCACAACATACAGTGCACTGAACAGAAAAAACCCATGTTACAACCAACCATGGATTACCACAGAAAAACAAATCCCACTGAAAATAGAATAGGTCACTAGCCAAACATTCTGGCTTCTCTTTGTAAAGGCAAGTTGTAGCCCTACTGCAATTAAAGGTCAGTGTGTGTGCCTTCAAAGATGTTTTAAAAAGTTAGTGCAAAATCCAACTCTGCCACCACTAGCTCATTTTTGCCACTGTTTCTCATAATTGCTTTCCTAAGGAAATAATCTCAGACAGAAGATTTCTAGGAAGGGCTGGCCTGTGGCCTAGTGGCTAAAGGAGCTAGATCCTACATAGCTGGCTGAGCAGTTCAAATCCCGGCTCTGATGGCTTCTAAAATATGCTGGGTACATGTTTGTGCCTGCCCCAAATTCCAACAGGATGAAGAAATGGAGAGGAAGGAATAGTGGCATGACCACACTCCACTAGGGGGTGCTTTCTCCCTGTCCACTGCACCCCTTTCCCACTGTTCATACCCCTCTCTGGTAAGCACATGAACCCTCTAGCAAAAAAAAGAATCTAGAAAATAATAAGATTTGATAATAAAAACTGTAGTAATTGATAAAAAAACAATCAAAGATATCCTGGTGATGTCTTAAATGTTACAGGGGAAAAAACCCACAGTATTACAGATTGGTTCCTGGTTGGGGAACCAGGAACATAAAATAGGACACTGAAATCACCATATTCCAACATTTATCTTTGTTTGTGCAGCTTCCTACAGTCCTGCAACTCTCTCAATCTTCTAAATCATACTCTACCCAGAGAAGATAACGGGGCGTTAATTAGAAATGCATCAAGTGCTCACACCGACCTTAATAGGTTTATTTCTAAAATTTTACACTACAGACAAACATGTAATATGCAAAATAATGTACTTAGTAGATTATTCATTGTAAAATTGTATGTCATAGCAAAAGACTATAAATAACACTCACACACTGGAATAATACGCAGCTGTAAAAAGGAGTAAGGTTCCCCTCTACATTTTGAGGTAAGAACTATAAGATATTAAGTGAGAAAACCAAGCTATGAAACTGTATAAAAGCAATGTTATATTCTGTGTAAGAAAGAATACACATAGTTGTAAGAATTAAGAAACTCTGGGAGGATGGAGGTTAATAGGGGAAATTATCTGTTGTGGGAATTGGCAGAGTATAAGAGAAACAGGATTAAAACGATCTTTTTTCACTGTATATTTTTTATGATTCTTAGTGTGAACTATACTAATGTATTCCCTAGTCAGAGTTTTAAACAAACAGAATTGATTTCAAGGAAAGAAAACCACACTATTGCGGTTTGAAAGTCCTAGGAGCCTTTTCCAGTACCTGATGTGATACTTCCGTCCAGCCAGATGACTGGCCCAGTACCCTGACTTCCAGAACCTGTAGCCATCCATTTCTCTTCGGCTGTCACAGAAAGGAGTGTAGCCATAAGGAGCACCATCCAAATTGAAATCTCTTAACTCTTTCAGATCTGTTCGCACAATCTGAAGAAAAGATCAACGGTTGTTCGTTAAACAAGCATGAAGACAGCTCTAATGCAGTTTCCCTAACACAAAGGGCCTGGCTGAGCAGGGAGGGTAGCTCAGCGGCTAACAGTGACGTTCTCACAGCAGACACGCTTCATTCAAGCCTGAACTCTGCCACTCATCAGCTGGTTGCCCTAACTAACACGTGAGTCACTCATGCCAGCATGCGGCACACAGTGTTCTAAATATTCAAAAGGAGTAACAAATCTACATTGCTTTGGATCCCTGGGCCTGTTTCCTCATCTGTAAAATGTAGATAATGCTAGCCCCTATCTCATATGGTTGTCAGGAAAGACCCAAGTTAACACACGCACAGACCTAAAACACTGCCTTGCCCATCACAAGTGCCCAATAAGTATTAATGTGGCTATATTAGAATCAAAACATTTCAGGTTGAGCCAGCTAAGGCAGGGAATTACAAAGAGGTGGACGAAGCCTTTGTCCAAAGGACTTCGGCATACATTACATCACTTTATTCAAGTGGCTGGTGAGGCAGAAGAACATGTATGAGGGACATCCACAAAGTCTCAATTTTGAGCTCTGCCTCTACCACCCTGCCTATTACTCTTATGTCTTGGAGATTATGGCAAATACTGCTGAATCTTAATTTTCTAATATTTAGTTCTTTTTTTTTTTTATTAATATAGGTTTTTGTCATAGGGCTCATGTGCTCACTGGAGAGAGAGAGAGAGAGAGAGGGAAAGTGAGAAATCACCCAATAGGAAGGATGGCCATGCTGCAATTCCTTTTTCACTCTCCTCTTGGGATTTTGGGCAGGTACATACATGTGCCCAGTGTGATTTTCAAGCCTCCAGGTTCAGGACTTGAATAGTGGCTGGCCATGTGGAAGTCCAGCAGCTTAACCACCAAGCCACCTATTGGCCTTAATTTTTAGCTCTTTGGGATACAAATGAGTTAGTGAATAACATACAATGGCATACATTATGCTGTCATAACTATGTTAAAAATGAAAAATATACTAAATGCAAAATAAAAAAGTGAATCCATCTGGGGTCAGCAGGAGGTATGGTTGTTAAGGCACTGGACTCTCACATGGCTGACCATGGTTCGGATCTTGGACCTGGTGGCTTGCTTTCTTACTTTCTCTCTTTCTCTGTTTGTGGTCAAATTAAAAAATAATAATAATAAAAATAAAATTTTAAAAAGTGGTTTCATCTAGGCAATAACTTTCTGTATTTTCTGAATATTGTAAAATAAGCATATACCTTTCCACAATTGGAAAGCCATTCTAAAAGCATAAAGAAGCCTTCTGACTTTAATATAAACTTAAAAGCTGTCCATTAAGAGCTTACCTGATCAGCATCGACAAACAGGAATTTGTCAACAACTAGTGGGAAAAGAACATCAAGGAAGAGGATCTTGTAACCCCAGATGATGCGCTGTTTTTCAGTCTGCTGATGGAGCCACCGGGGCCATTTGTATTGAACAAGCTCATACTGGAAATTGTATTCATTTGCCATGTAAGGTATAAACTCCTATTTTTACACACAGGGAACAACAAACAAAATCACTTTTCTGATTACAAGCACTAACTTTATAGTATCAGTCAACCACCAAAACAATGGCACAAGTGAAACATTAGAAAAGGCATGACGAGTTTTTCTATGTAAATGGTTCATCACTTCGCCAGTGACCTAACATTTACCAAAACAGTGGTCTTATAAGGAATTTAGCCCTGATTCACATGTAGCTACATAAAAGAATACATATAAACCTTTGCCGAGTCCCCATTTCTTTATGACTCCTAGTCATGACAAGAAATGACAGAAATGTTTAAGTGAAGACTTTCAGATTTATGTGTGTGTGTGTGTGAGAGAGAGACTGACTTTTGCTATAGGGTGCATGCACTCGCTCGAGAGACAGATACACAGAAAGCAAGAAATCATGCTTTGTGGTCACACCCCAACCCCTTCTCCTCAATTCTTCTCTCGGGATTCTGGGCACACAAGCACACATACTCAGCATAAGTTTTAAGCCGCCAGGTCTGGGAATCAGACTGTAGTCGACTATGTTGGAGTCCAGCAATATAACCTTTATACCATCTGCGGATCTGCGGGTCTCTGTGTGTATGTTTTTAAGGCATATTTACTTTAAGTTCATTTGTCTAAACTTGATTTCAGTAAGACATTTTAAGGAGCTTAATTATAAGCCTTTTTCAAGACAAGGCCTAACTGAGGGAATAATAACATAGTTAAAGTCAAAACTCTGAGCAAGTTTGTTTCCATTAATGAGTAAGTCTTTCGGATTCTAAATACAAGTTGCCCTAGGGGACCAGAAGTGAATATTTTATCTAGGAGAGATGTTACCAGATGTACGTTAAAGTTGTTCAATAAATTTTAATTGAAAAATCTTATTTATTTATTTATTTATTTATTTTTGGGGGGAGGTTTTCACTATAGGGCACGTGCACTCGCCAGACAGACAGAGAGACATAGAGACAGAAAGCAAGAAATCACCCGCCAGGGGGGATGGTCACGCTGCAATCCCTTCTCCATTCTCCTCTCGGGATCTTGGGCACACACGCACACGCGCTCGGCGTGGGTTTTAAGCCACCGGGTCTGGGACTCAAACTGCAGACGACTACATGGGAGTCCAGTGATAGCCATTATGCTAACTGCTGGTTCCCGAAAAATCTTGATATAAATAAAGCAAGCAACTTTCCCTGTGTGATTTTTGTTCTGCACAGATGAAGAGCTGCTTCCATAGATCGTTAAACTGAGGTTCACAACAAACTATTCTCTTCAACTTAAACCACCATTATGCCTTCTAAATTAAGGACAGACATGTATGCTTCAGAAAAAGGGAATATTTTTCAAAATATCGCTTTTAACAAAAGATATAGACTCTTATATTTTATCTAAGCTTCAAGCAGGCCACAATTTTGTGTTTGATTTTATTAACAACTATCCCTCCCAATTCCAACAATCTAGGGGGCCAGCAGGTGACACAATGGTTAAAGGCACTGGACTCCCACATGGCCGACCACTGATAAGAGTCCTGGACCTGGCAGCTTGCTTTTTTTTTTTCTCTCTCTCTCTCTCATTCTTTCTCTCTTGCTCTGTCCCTTCCTGGTCAAAATAAAGAGAAAGAAATAAAGTTAAACAAAATAATTCTTAAAAAAAAAATCTAGAAGAGGGACCAGCAGATGGCATAATGGTTACATCACTGGACTCTCACAGAGTCAACTGCGGTTCTAGTCCTGGACCTAGCGGCTTAAAACTCATGCTGAGTGCATGTGCGTGCATATCCAAAATCCTGAGAGGAGAATGGAGGAGAAGGGATGGTGGCATGGCTATCCCCCCAGGGGATGATTTCTTGTTTTCTGTCTCTCTGGCAAGTGCATATGACCTATAGCAAAAATCTCTCTTAAAAAAAAAAAAAAAAAAGAACTAGGAGAATAATCAGCATCGAAATATGAAACTAGTTTAGCCTAATTTTTAAAAATTGATATACAACTAAATCAAAAATAGTAGAAAAAAAAATCCTGGAAATTAGGGAACCAGCAGTTAGCGTAATGGCTATGTTGCTGGACTCCCACGTAGTTGACCGCGGTTCGTGTCCCGGACCCGGTGGCTTAAAACTCACACCGGGCGCGTGTGCGTGCGTGCCCAAGATCCCGAGAGGAGAATGGAGGAGAAGGGATTGCGGCGTGACCATCCCCTCTGGGGGGTGATTTCTCGCTTTCTGTCTCTATGTCTCTCTCTGTCTGTCTGGCGAGCACACGCGCCCTACAGTGAAAATCTCTCCAAAAAAAAAAAAAAAAAATCCTGGAAATTATCACCTTAATAGGAATGTTCTCCTCTTCCCAGTGAAACAAACCTTAAATGTAGGAGACAAATAATTCTTCAAGAACCAGAATTTCACAGGAGTCTTGGTATTCTTCAGCACTGAAAGCATCATTATGCTGCAAAAAAAAAAAAAAAGAGCAGATTATAGTAGTAATATTCCTAAATGCTTTTTAACTCGACATTATGCAAAGCCAACCATAAGACCACTAGACAACCTTCACAGTAGAGCTAACTGATGGCTCAATTAGGCAAACAGGCACCCTTACTAGTGGAAAATGAAAAAACTGTGCTTATTCCTACTTATAAAGTTAACACTGGATAGGAGAAAAGTGTTGTTTCTCACCTGCAGAAATAATTGATAAAGCCAAATTTTTTTTTTTTTAAGGTTTTTGCTATTGGGCGCATGTACACACCAGAGAGAGAGAGACAAAGAGAGAAAATATGAGAAATCACCCTTGGGGAGAGGTCCATGTCACAATCCCCTCTCCTTCATCCTTCTCTTGGGATTTTGGGCACATATGCACATGTGCCTGGTGTGATCTTCTAGCTGCTGAGTCCAGGAATCAAACCATGGTTCACCATGTGAGAGTCCAGCACCTTAACCACTAGGCCACCTGCTGGCCCCAGGAAAATGTCTTAATGTTATGCCTTGAAACAACCTATTCATGAACTGATGTGTCAATTATGGGACAGATGGAGATTGGTGCTGTGATAACTGACTACAACCCTCTTCGAAACCATCACTGAGTCGCAGCTGCTCATGGTCCTGTGAGAAGAGTGTGTGAGCATGTGCAGCCTCACAGAGAGTCCTGCCAGGGAGGAGAGCAGGGAGGGGCAAGGGAAGCCAATGGTTATAGGCTCTGAATTACCTACTTCGAAAACAAAAGCATATTTTGAGTGGAGGAACCATCATCACTATTTTAGGTCACAGCAGAGCTAAACATGAGCACAATGGCATTGTATTCTTTCCTATGCTAGATTTGTACTGAAAAATTAAAAGGGATAAAAACCCTGGGCATGACGAATGACTCTCTGGCAAAGTCATGTCTTCAGCAGCGATCCTCCTGACACCATGCCAGGCACTCCCAAGTGCCTCCCCACTACAGGCCGCTGCAGCCAGCCCAGGCCAGTATTATCCTGGTCAGGCAAGGTCCTTCACACTCCAGATCATGGTTTCTTTATAAAACGGAGTGTTCTCACAAAAGAACCAAGAGGCCTCCTGGTTCTTAAATCTATAGAAGGCAATGAAGTATTCCACAGTTTGTTCTCCTATTCTCTATGCCTGCCTCCTAGTTCTGGGTTATGCTTACTTGGCAGCCAAGTAACCACCATGGTCTATCATGTGTGCGCAATGACAGTAAAGGTCTACAGCCTGGTAAGATCCGCACAGAGGCACTCACCACGCAGCTGCACTTCAGAGCTAACTGGATCAAGATAAACACAACTACGTAAGCCAACCATGAACAATCCTTGGTGCTTCAAATACACAAGAATAAATGGGCAGATGCCCAGAAAACTTTTGCTCTCTAAATAAGAATAATATGATAAATGTATGCACAAATCAAGGAAATAATACAACTAACCGAAGAAATCGTTCATAGAGATGACCAGATGCAACAGAGAAAATATTAATTATATCATCTTTATCCTGTTTCACTTCCTCAGTCTTCTGTCCTCCTGTGAAGCCCCTGGAACAATAAAGGTAAAAACAAAGACGACTTGAAATGCTGGACAGACACAAAACCCTTCAAGGAGAGAGGGAAGCAGTGATACGTCCAACTCTCCTTCCTCCCGGAGTCCTCCCCTGGAGCATGTAATGCTGACACAGGGAGCAGATACCGAAGCAGCCCTCGGAGCCTGGGAGAAAACAGGCCCAGAAAAGCAGTCACGGGACAAGAGGGATGTACACCCACAATGTCAGCTGCTTTAGGGACGAACTGAATGCAGGCTGATCCACAGAACACAATTAGTACAATGGGAAGTAAACTGAACCAGTACCTATCAACTCCAGAGAGCAGGTACAACCCAATGGGAGTCAAGAAGTACTATGCAGAAGTAACCACCATGAGGAGACGTGAGCCTCATTTAACTCATCAATTTACTCCAAATATATATATGCAAGATCTGACTGCACCAAGCAGAAGGTGAAAGGCCCAGAAAGGATTACTCAAATGAAAGAGGAAGAGATTGTGTTTATATTTGTTTTTCTTAAAAAACAACTTCTTTTGGCTAATTTACCATTTGAAGGAATCCCAAAATCCAGATTCATTCTCATTCGTTCCATCACTCAGCAAATCTTCATTCACCATGTCTGCCTTCTTCTGAACCTGCAATCAGATGTGAAGGTTATTTCTCCTAATAGGGCTCAGGGCATAAAACTGACCTGTGATGACGTGCACCACACGCACTGCCAACAACAGGGAGCCATCAACTCTCCCCTTCCAAGTCTACAAATATTCAATAAAAGCATCTTCATCAAGATGGGCACACTGAACTCTCAAGTGAGGAGACAGTTCAAATTAGATAACAGATATGTCAGCTTGCAAAATGGGCAAAGAACCTCAAATTCAACTGTGTAGAACATACGGTCTGAGAAAAACCAGAGGCACAATTCACCACACCAACAGCTAGTTCTAGGGAGAGAGCTGCCAGGAAGGAGGCGTTTCATGCCACTGCCTTTTTTAGGATTTACTAGCACAAGCACAGGCTGGATTCTCTCTACAGCACAGTGTGCATTTTTTCTGCTCAGCCACATGTGGCCCACTTTACATTTTACTTTGTATAATGATTATTCCATAAAACATTTTATTTGAATTAAAGGCACTATGAACTTCTAAGTTCTGACAGTAGAGAGTAGAAGTGAGAAGAAATTACAGAGAACTTCCACTTTATTATTATTGCTGTAATTTTCATTGGCATTTCCCCCACTGTTCTGAGAATACAATAGTCAATAATACTATGAACTGTGGCTATACAGGGGTTTTTAAAAGATCCATGGAGGACTAGCACTGTAGTGCTCGGTTAAGCAATATGTACAAAAAGCCAGATCCCACATGGCCAAACATAGCCAAACATGGTTCCAATTTTGGCCACAATGGCTTGCAAAACACACCAGGCATGTGTGCATGTGTGCTCAAAACTCCTGACAGGATGAAAGAAAAAGGACTGCAGCATAACTATGCCCCATTAGGGGGTTTTCATTCTCTCTCTCTCTGTCACCCACGTACCCTCTGGCAATAGATAAATTAATAAACTGTGCATGGATTTCAAAACATTTTTGCACCAAAAAAAAAGTCGTACTTTACTTCCATTTATCCGTGAACTTTTGTATTCCTCTCATATAAGCAGCACAGCCATCTATGAGAACCATTTACTTTATATAATGTATTGCTCACAGGTATTATCCAAAAGGTACAATCTCTCCTGAAGAAAGCCACAAACTCACATTTATAAAGACATTTGTCTTAGAGCATCACTGCTGTGATTGCCACAGTTGTAGGCTGGTTTCACGGTGTATACTTTTTGCATGACAGCTACCAAATTAACAGAATGCAGTCGTTTTACCAACTGTAACAGAGCAGCAACCTTATATACCAACTCACCTTCACTTTAATGATTTTGCTTTTGAAGTTATTGAGGACAACTACCACCTCATTGGCATCAGGAGGAGAGTCTGTTCCATCATGGCTGAGAGGAAAGTAAGACGGACATTACAAATCACAGCTAGTGGTCTGATAGCCTGTTGTAGTTGTCCTCATCTTTACTCTAAAGGACTTTGTCAGAGCAAACCACTTTTGCACAACCTGAAGGAAGCCCCTTCAAGCTGCACAGAAGCACTCACTGAAATCTCTATCTTTACCAAGGTGTGTGCCCAAGCTTCCTTCATAAGTTTTCCTTAAATGACCTGTCTTGGTATGAGAGGCTCTCACAAGGGACAAGCACAGGAACACTGGACAAGCATCTGTGTTCATAAGTTCTGAGCCAAACACAGCTCCTTCAAATATGCAACGCAAGTGGGGTGGGCCACTTAGAACCAGCACTGGGACCGCAGCATGCCTACTCTCTATCTGGAACCGTTTCATTAAGGCATCTAAATAGTCTCTCCTGCTGACTGGAGGCACACCATCAGCCAAGCCCAGGTGTTGTACCCAACCCTGATCTGCTTCCTGTAGTCTGTAGAAAACACTGTAACAAACTTGGTTTCCAAGTACAACCTAGAGGAGGAGGAAAAATTACAATTTACATTTCTGTATTAACACTTGCAATGCCCAAACTTTTCAGTCACCAAATTTCAAGGTGAAGGAAGTCAAAATAACAATACGAGTTAACTGTATTGCTGTCATCCAGCAGAGAGCTGGGCACACAGGCAAAAATAAGATTCTAAAGGGGGAGAAATATGAAGTATGAAACATTCCTCAGACCAAGAAGATCCAGTGGGGAAGACAAGAACACAGGAGCCCACTGGCCGTGCTGGAGGAAGGGTACCATGCACGCTCCTAGGAGGGGGGAGGGCTGGCAAGGGCCAGGGCAAACAGGAGGGGCAGGTGTGGGAGCACAACTAAAGCTCTGTAAAACTCTATCTAGAGAAAATGTTATTTGGAGAAACACCTCCTACTATTTACAAAGATATTACTATAATAGAAACATCTATTTTCAGTAAGAAATACACATTTATCCACACTGCCTTCCCACGTGTCAGAGACTATGTTACTAAGGCAAGGACACACAGAGATGCTTCCTAAACTCTAAAGAAAATTACTCCATAAACAAATTAACAATAAGTCTTTATTTATTTTTTTTAAAAGTTTTTCTATGCGGCATGTGTGCTTGTCAGAGAGAGAGAGTTAGAGAAAGTAAGAAAGCATTCCCCAGGAGGGATGGCCAAACTGCAATCCCTTCTCCTCCATTCTCTCAGGATTTTGAGCACATACCTACATGAGCCCAGTATGCCTTTCAAACCATTAGATTCAGGACTCAAACTGTGTAGTAGGCCATGTGGGATCTAGCTGCCTTAACCACCATGTCACCAGCTAGTGCCAGTAAGAAGTCTTTTTATACAGCTCAAAACTAGTTTAAATTATGCTAAGCAGAATTTAGACCAAAAAAGGCAGCATAATTTTTTTAACTAACAAATGTACTTTAAGCAAAAACCTGGCTACTGACAGAATGTTCTAGGAGTACGTCTATACCACTATAGACCAAGAAAGAGCATACTAACAGCAAGGCTTCACAGTCTACGCCTACTTACACGCACTGTGTATTTGCAAATTATTCAGGATCAAGGCTATACTCTCTGGGTAAAAAAGTTTGTTCTTCCTTTTCTCCTTTCTTCCAATGACTCAGTTTCTCGTTTGCCTATGGCCTACATCTCAGTGAAAGAATGGGTTGGTTCTGAGACATTGTTAGAATAAGGAATCACCAATGAATAAAACCTAACCATACTTATTGCTATTTTACCTTCTATTATATAATTCTACCCTAATAATTCTTCATATTTAATCTCCTGGAAAACTACTGAATCATGACACATACAACTGTAAACTGGATTCATGTTCCCTGGCTAATTGCCAGGGACATACTCAATTAGAACTAGTTCTCATTTCAAACTATTTGGGAACAATATACCAGCACCACATAGTCCTACCTATAGATCCTATAAATATCTTCAGAGCGTCCCTTCCTCAGTCTAAGGATCCAAGCTCCAGGGTTGGCCTTCAACTGAAAGTAGCCCTAGAGCAAGAAAAAGCAAAAGTTTAGCTCTCTGCAAAATGTCAAGATCTTGTTTTTAAGGGACTTCTTTTGCTGAAGCATAAGTCACCTATAATTTAAATAAGAAGGATAACAAATCAGTGCAACTCTTTAAAAACAAAAGCAAAAACCAATGACACATTAGAAACTAGCCAAAGCACCCTGGGAAGTCTAGCCAAGAAGTCTGCCCGATAGCCGTGCTGCAGTGAAGACTCGACAATGCCGTTTGTGAACAAGCTGTGAACCTCCAAAGAACAGCTCCAAGCAATCCACTTTCAAGGGGCCAACTCAGTCACAGCAGAGTACTCCAGTGTTTTTTCTTTTAAGGTGACCATGTCACCTAACCTGACAGTTTAACTGAACTAGTGATATTTGCATGGACTAATAAATTCAACCGGTTATGAGGTTTGATCTCACCCTCTGGTTCATAATGCGAACTGCTCCACATAAATTGTAATGTTCAAATGAACATGACTACAATATCACCATCAGATGAACGGGGTATTTACCAGATTGGCCATGACAATGGTGTCGACAATGACGGGGTTGGCTGACGTTCCTAAAGTGAACTGCAGTCCTCGTGGGGGCTGGCCTGTGGTGATATCATAGCAGTGACCTTCTAGCAACAGGTACTCCAGCTCGTACTCAGCGGCTACTATGCTGTCCACCTGCAACATCAAAATAAACTCACCTGAAGACTAATCAACAACCACATGGGATCAGCTGAAATGCAGTTTGCAAAGTGAATGAAGTAGACAAAAAGAATTTATATCCTGCATGGTGGTTATTTTAAGAAATTTGGGAAAAAGCAAAAATATACTGACAGAAAGCACATTAGTCACTGCCCAAGGCCAGGGGCTAAGGGAGGGGACTGCCTGACAAAGGGTACAAACAAAATTGGGGGGCGGGAACCAGCAGTTAGCATAATGGCTATGTCGCTGGACTCCCACATAGTCCACT